ACGGGCACGTCAAGTTTTTTCTGATCGTTATTCATTAAGCGGCTGCGGCCGTGGCCGACCGACGGAGGAAATTTAAACGTTGGCCAAAACGAACCGCTGCGATCGTATTTCGATCCGACGGTTAGGCATTCGTCGCATCGGAGACATACTCGTACAGACCGCGAATTTTTGGTCACGCTGGCGGCGGCGAGGGAGAAAATGGGAGAGCAGCAGACCCGTGGCGCGAATCCAAACGATGGCAGCTCTCGATAACAACGTGAAAAAGCGGCGGCGAACCGCGTCGGTTCGTCAAACTCGTAGGAAACCACCGCGCGCGATTCCGCCGCAAAATCGCTTGAATTGTCGCCGTACGTTGTTACGCACACGCGCATAACAACGTGCGTGAAAAATTATTCCACCATTTTACGCTCGTTGACGCTCGATCACTTCTTCTTCTTCTCGCATGTGAGAAAAGAAACGACGATGATTCTTGAAATTCGGGGAAATTCTGCCTCGCGAAAGAGTCGATTGTTGCTGATTAAAAATAATTTTCAATTGCGTGGCTTGATATCGACATTACGTTATCAAATGTTTATATTATATCTTACCGCGATGTTATATCATGATGTTATATTTTGTTATATTTATATTGATACGAGTACTTTGAAATGAAATGTACGTCATAACAAAATGCTCGAATGAATTGAATCTCTTGAAATAATCGAACGCTGAAATTTCGCTCGAATGCATTATTATAAGCGTATTAGAGCTGCAAGCTGAACGCAAAGCCATCAGCTTGTTGCTATCTCATGGTTACCATACAACGTTACGCGTTACCAATTGTTGAGAACGAATCGCACGATTGAATGGAATAAATAATTTTAAATGAAAGGAATAGATTAAAGTGTCACATAATGGTCGATGGTCCATGAATTTCATTTCGATAGTTTCTTGTCTCTCACTTGCAATCGCTTGAAACACATTTCTCCCCCGTAGGGAGATAATATTTTTCAACGTACGTACTTGTGGCTAGTTTCTCGAATGTATTTCAAACAAGTCCTTGGTTCCGTTTAATTATCAAGTACTGCTTGTAAAAGATTCAGATATAATCCACGGAGGATTCGATTGCTTTCTTGAATGCCGATAAAGGATCCAGAGCGTTGTCTCTGCAGTTTTATAAATACCCAGTGAACGCTTGATCCCATCACTAGATAAAACGTAGCCGAGATAGCTTCCAGCTATCCACTCTTTCTCTTTCTCTCTCTTTCATTGTGTGTGTGTGTGTGTCACCGTTACCGCATGCATTATTGGCTTTTTATCCCGATGCACATAGAGCACATTCATCCTCCCTCGCAGGTGAAACGGCGCGCTCGTAGCGAGAGATTGAACCGGCAGATCAAATATTATGACAGGCAAATGCATGGAAATTTTCGTCGGAAGTGTTTCTCCGAGCTATTCTCCGTTTCCGGGATCCGCTATCACCGCGGCTCTCTTCTTCAAACGATTTGACCAGCTCATTCAATTAACCCCCCCGAGCCAAAGGGCGAGAAGGGTGGAAATTAACATTTCAGCTGAAAAAGATTTTCGTTTCAATTATCGGTGTGCGTTCGGCACGCTTGGCGAAAGTTTAAATCGGCACACACGCTTTCCGGCCCCGAGCGTGCTTGACGCTGAACGAAGCGAAGTTTGCTGACCTAATGATTTAATGAAGAAGTCGAGAGAGAAGTTGAAACGGCAGAAGCGGGAAAACAGGGGAAAAGAACGGTGGGACGTTCTCTGTAATTCTAGGTCTGCGTCGTCCGCAGTTCGAAACTGTTGCACGCGTTGCGATTAAAATTGTCCCCGCGTGGGTGACAACGGCGAATAAACGACGTGAACGCGTTTTCGCTTCGTTCCCTCGTACATCAACTTAATATCCCACGGTCGATCCATTGATGACACGATATTATATTCATGTGCAAACATGTAGACGCTAGATTACAGGTTCCAACTATACAACATGATTTCCAATAGTTGACGTGCGTATCCTGAATTATCAAAACTATGCGGTGATGTATTATATTCTATTATAACAGTATATTAAAAGAAATACGTGTTGTTTCAATTATTTATTACTTCTTTAATAAACATATATTTCGATCGTTGTTAAGGGGAAAAATTATTAGGATTAGAATTTGATGTACAAAGTGTGGCGAATCAGACTTGATATGTTAATATGAAATGATGATAGTGAAGAAAAAAAATTATTTCAATTATTTATTATTTATTTAATAAATATATATTTCAATATTAGTTCATTCTTGCCGTTGTTGACGACAGCAAGCAAATGTTTCCTCGAATTTAAACTGTTTCGCTATATATTTTTAATCACTATTTTGACAGAAAGTTACAAAGTCAACTTCGTCTTTTGACTTTGAATTTATTTAAAATTAGGCACGGACTTGCAAATTAATTTGATATTTATAAGATTCTTCTTCGAAGAAGTATTCTTTCAAGTCGAGGTCATTTGCTTTGAGAGTATTTCAAAGCTGAGCAAATATTTATGGAAACAATAAATAAAAAAAAAAAAGAACGACAGCGCGCTGACTTCGAGAAACAATATTACTTTATTAATTGGAAGTTGAAACGTTTAAAATAGTTATAGGGGGAAAGAGTTCGTTCTAGAAAGTGAGAAAAAAGAACAAACGAACGACAAGCAATCGGTAGTCGTCAAAAGGCTTCGAAAGTTAATTATATCAGTGGGACTGCAATCGACATTGTGTCCATCGGCTTCTATCGCTTTATGTCGATTTTTAATCCTATTCTGTAACTTCATTTCATTCATCAAGAAACTATATATTACTTGTTAACAAATATTACGTTTATCACTGGAAAAATTCTAAAAATTCAGGCGCCACTGAAAAATCTTTTTCACGCTCCATGATCTTGAAGATTGAAATTTCCTCTTTAAAATTTTCCGTCATTTTATTGAATATTTTGAATATTAGGATTAAACGATGAAAATTCAATGAGTATTACTTTAATATTCGAAGTTCGATAGAAAAAAAAAAATCGCAAAACAAATTTTAAGGAAACTTTTAATCTTCAAATTTGTAGATCCAATCATGAAAAATATTTGTTCAGTATTTTTAGAGATGTTCGAATTTTTCCAGAATTTTCGAGAAAATTCTGTAAAAAACATATTCTCACTTTCCCATCCGCTAGATAATGTAAAGTCATCCTTGAAAAAAAAAAAAAAAGAAAAAACTCGCGAACTCACGACTGTCTAACTTGTCGAGCCAGAGGTTTCGTGTTTTAAAACGAGAGCAAATGGATTGTCACGTAATTTATGAAGCTGTAACAGTAACTTTTTAATTATACTCTTCGACCTAATTTAAACAAATCGAACTTAATTCAAACGAAATTACTATCGAAGAGGCTGTTAAACATAGTGATAGCATGAGAGCAAGATAACAAGATAATTTGAATCAATCTGCTCGACTGTCCATTGTTGAGACCAAAACGAATCCAAAAATTTCATCGTCCAAACGATCCTCTTTTCCCACTTCCATCATGCCCGATGTTCGAAGCTGCAGGAAAAATCGAGTCGCGCGAGTGGATCGCGACTCGATATCGGAGGTCGTTTTTCAGTTGAAGGCACGAGGCGTTCGTTGCCGCGGCTTGCTCACTCAATGAGGAAAAGTCGAGTCGCTCACGGCCCTCCATAAAATACGACAATACCTCCAGAAGCATTAACGTGATCTGTGTAAGCCACGTGAGGTTCTCGCTGTGGATGCGGTCCCTGAGCGTGTACCATCGGGACATAAATAATGCAGAACACTCCTAGAGCCGCCGGTTCACGTAGAACCAATACGTTCCTCCTACGGAACTGTAAACTAGATAGGTTAAAATCTAGTCGATGGAATAGAGCGCCGAGGGCGGCTCGTGCGCCTCGGCTTCTCGCCCTGCTTCTCCCAGACGAATATAAACCAGCTGTTTCTGCTCGGCCAACTTGCCTTTATTGCATTATTTAAATACCGTGAATTATTCAAGCTTCATGCACGCGACAGAAAATATAATTGACAGATGCCCGGCTTATTACTATACCAATGCTGCGATTAGCAAATTTATACTCGCTTATAGTAATACCTGCGAGAAGCATCCGTCGATTTTTGACAACAACGTTCTCTAATACGTTATCAATACGTTGTCATCTAGTGAGTAATTTTTCGCGAAGATTTCGATCGGAGGTGAGCTGTTCTGTCCATTTTTGTCGATAATTTCCCTAGAAAACAATTGTAACTATTATTACAAATATTATACAGAAATCTATTAATTCATCCTCAGAATAATAAATTAAATTTAATATTGTTGTAGTATGTTAAAAAAAATGATCAAAATCAAGGATCTCTTTTTGTAGGAAAAAATATTTACTCAATTTACTTAAACGAAAGGAAAGGAATCCATCCTCGATTTTGATAATTTTTTAATATATTGTCAATATTGTCATTCTGGCTAATTTTGCGAGAGTTTCAATTGAAGGTGAATCTTATCCATTTCTGATTCAGACTTGTTCTCGATAACAACATTTTAATACACGATGATCCTCAAATAAATTCTTTACAATATTACTTAGAGTGATGATCTTCGTAACATCGTTAAAAAAATAATCAAAATATCAAAATCTTAGGTAGAAAGGATGGATTCTTTTTTTTTTAAATATCTACTAAAATTTTTGCTTCATTACTGTGGAACAGGAAATATAAAATTGGGACTAATGTCTGTGAGCTTATGAGAAAAAATAAATTTTCGATGAGTATAAATAGAATGTAGATTTTTATGCATTTTGAATTTTTTTATAAACATAACTGGAGAAGTAGAATTGAAATTATTTCATTTACTAAATATCAGTAATAAACAATCTGCTTTGGATATTTTGTATATTTTTGTATATTCTGTCTGTTGTGTGCATTTTTATGACTTCAAATTTATAAGTTTACGGAATATATGTGCATATTTTTATCTATTTTTCAAACATAAAAGAAACAAAACTTCAACAAAAATTTTCGTATTTTCAATTTTCTGAACAAAAATCAACATTACAAAGAATGAATTAGAAGTAAAATAGAAACTGTCACGAACATAGCACGCAGTAGGTGATTATTCTGTTCCACGGTTTTAATTATTTTAGACAGGCATGAAGGCAAATGAATTCCTTATTTGGAAAAGGGACACAAATGATTAATCGCGACAGAAAGGATAATTTATTAATTTCTGTTGGCAAGAATTTATCATCATCGAGTTTTATTAATGTCCCAGGAATTTTTAATCAAATAAAATCACTCTTCCCTTGATATGGATAACAAATCCTTCTCGTCCATCTTCAGTTAAATATATAATTAACAAGTTCGACGAACATAAAAGACAATACCTTGTTTACTTGAGAGTCGTGCCGTAATTAATTAAATTCTTACAATTCGATTGCTTAGACACGTTGCGTTCATTTATGAAAAATTTGCTAATTAAAGATTGATTAAATTGAACATAATTTAAAGCGAAACAGAACAAGTGATATTCATGGTATTTTATGTGACAGTGATACGAACTTCTTCTCAAGTGTGAAATATCGACTCGTTGACGTTGAAACGAGAATGAAAAACAAAGAATTTCAAATTCTCTCAAAGAACACTGTTCCAAATCTTTCCGTCTCGTCGATCAGACAGAAGGAAAAACTTTTCGCACAAAGACTTGTACGATGATTAATAATACATGTCGTTCGAAGATCGAGAATTGTCTCATTTAGGGCGAGTCCTTGAGTTTACTTACACTTTGTTGTTCAACGATAAGAGCTGTAACTTAGTTCAAATAAGAAGTTTCTTCTAACTTTCTTTTTCGCAATGGCGTTCGTAAAATTAATCCTCTTAGAAAGTGCGCTGCTTCTCTCAAATTTCAAATTCCATCCAAAATGAAAACAACGCGAAACTCGTTCGCTTTGAAGACAACTGTATACTTCACAGAATTTTTTTTTTCTCGCGTTACTAAATAATATATAAGTAAAATCTCTCGCAGTAAATGTGAGAAAATAAACTCAAATTCGTCTCGTGCGCAATGTTATACATAGGTCGAAAAAACCTAGCGACTACTCGATTAATACTAACTCAAACACGAGAGGAAATATTGACTTTATCCCTTTGAGAATTTTTTTGAATCGACTATTCATATTCGTGTTTTCCTTTACTCCGTGTCCTCCTTGTACAAGATTATGTTTGCCTTGTCTCTGGCAAGCATTTTAACAAGCGAATTACGAGTAGAATTAAATGCGGAAACAAATAGGCTGCGGATTTTTGGAAAACTAGTATCTAGCGAGTGAAACAAGTTCCCGCTGAAATTTTATCTCTGAAAATTTATCATTACAAAAATACGAACGAATAGCAGTTGCATTGGGACAGTCGCGTTTCAGGAAGAATTTTACAACAGAGTCCTGTGATTAGTCTCACTCTTAGTGTAACATTCTGTAGGACGTTGTTCGAGCTCTGTAATTTATGGCCTGACAATCATCAACGTAGTCTTACAACCCTTGAGCTCAAGGGTGTCATCTTAAGCATATTTCAGAGAAAGCGACACGAGTCAGCGATAGGGTTATCTAATTAGCAACAAGTTACGATAGTTTCGTTCACACAGCCTCTACGTCATATTTAGCATACAACACGTGTGTATAAACGTGTATTGTATCCCCTTTACGACCCTCCGTGTATATAATTTTCAGTTCTAATGGCCATTTTTTTATTTTAAATGCAAGCGATATTTATATTTAGACAATTATATATTCGTACATTCATCGATATCTTTCATCAATATAGTATTTGCGTTGATTTTCACATTTTTCATTGGCACTACAATGACTCTCAACTATTACGATTACAATTTTTCAATTGATTCTGAAAATGTCTACAAAACACTTGATTCAAGTATCTTTCATAGAGATCATATATAAGTGTCACTTTTTAATACTTATTATACATTCAAAATGATTATTCATGCTCTATACGAATTTTATTAAATTATGAATAATATCTTGTAACTTCTATATATTTCTAATGTAGACATGATAGTCGCGTGTTTCATTTAATTTAAAAGTTTCATGTAGTATTATGATATGAAACTATACAATATATAGTATACAATACTATACTATGCAATACAATTATAGTATATAATATTATATATTACATACAATTATAGTTTATATAAATATTATATAATATTATATACAATTATAGTTTATATAAATATAATTATGTTTATATAATTGTTGTTATATAAATTATTATATAATTGTTATTATATAAATTATTATATTGTTATATAATTATGTTTATATAATTATTTATATTATTATATATTTATTATTATATATTTATATTATTTCATATTTATATAATTATTTTATATAAAATATGTAATTTTTCCAAAATATTTTATATAATATGCCCAATACACACATAAAAATTTTCTATATATATGAATAATGTAATGTAAATGTGTATAGTACAATATAAATATCTCTGACGAATATTATATACTATTATAATTTAAATTTACTATTATATAAAATTCTACAGAAATGATATCATCAGGTTCCAAACATCATCGAGCATATCTCAATCCTTTGAATCTAGAAAAAAAGTCTTTCACCTCTAAAAGAAGTAACAGAAATACTGGCGGGTGTCACTTTGTATCATGAACCTGGTCTAATTTGCCTGTCTCTAACGTAAAATACGAGCCAAGTATTGGTAAATCTAATTATTGTCTCTACCTCAGGTGAATGAGATAAATCCACGTTGATTTGGTAATCGGAGTGTTGCTTGGCGGTCGCGACGTAATTGACAAACCCTTGTTAGTTCTCACTGAATCAAGATACGTCTAGATCCTGATTTCATTAATTCTAAGTAGATTTAACCGATTCGGGGAACATAAATTGTTGCTTCCTCCTCCTGTTTCGAAAGCTTCGCATTTTTCCCTGTATGGAATGTGTTACGAATTACTTTTTAAACAGACTAACGAACGTATCGAATCAATAATTTATATTTTTCACGAATTATAATTTTTTTAGATTTTTTTTTCATTAAAAGATTGCTAATTAATTTAACATGAAAGCAATTGTTGTTGTATGCATCTGTATTTGGATACTTTCGGAATATTAACTGATTTTCTTTTATTAAATATAATTTATATATTATGATATATTCGTGTAATATTTAATATTAATGAAGTTTCTTTTGTTATAAAGATTTTTTAAATTTTAAACACACACAAAAAGACAAAAGTAGTTCGTAGGGAGAATACTTCAACGCGTGTCTGACCATATATCGTCCATTTCTCCTTATCGCCTCAGTTCTCGTTCTCCACTATAGTTTAATTATATATATAATATACGTAATAAATTATAATTATTCATTCAGAAATCAGATGTAAGAAAAATTCTTTTATCTGTACTGTTATTCGGTTTGTGATAACCTTTGTACTTAACGATAGAAAAATCTAATAAGTTAGAATGCTGCAGAGCGTGTCTGATCCTTCGCTACGCTTCATAAGTATACTTTCATTATAATCATTGTAATATACATTCGATGATGTAATATTCACGAGATGTATCATTTTTCGTTCGTAAAAAGAAATTCTTACTCTATGATATCGTTTGATCTGTGACAATTTCTTTTACTCGTTTATACATTTAATGATAAGAAAAATTACATTATAACGTAATCGTGCGCGACAAACTACAATTATCCATTCGAAAATATAATATTCATCAGATACTTGGCACTGCGAGAAAAATACGCTACCTCATAATGCCACTCGGTTCGTGATTATTCTTATCACTGTCTTGTATTATTCATGTCGCAGGCCGTAGGTTTAGGTTGCGAATGAGAATGACAGAGGAACGAGAGAGAAATGAACAGGTAAGCGAATGCTGAAAAGCACTGGTACAGCAGCAGAATGTATGGGCAAAAGGTATGATGAAAGAAAAAATGCACGCTGCGTACGGGCAGAGTGTACGTGAAACGGATGATGTGTGTGACGATAAGCAAAGAGCGTGTGAAACATTTGCAGGAACTCGGTGTAGAAAGGAAAGCAAATATATTATCAGGATACAGAGCACCGGAATGGCGTTGACAGTACGAAGTATGTTTCACATGTGTTTATAAGTGTACGCTGTACGTAACTATGATTTACACGTTATATAGCCGCAAATTATTATTTAAACCGACGGCGTAATGGTTTAATGAAATAAATCATCGTAACACGAAAAAATTATTTCAAATACGCCAGGACATTTATGGGAATTAGGGCAAATTTATATGATCGAATTTCTTGAAAAATCTCACAAATCATACGTAAGATCTACATTCGTTTCATTATTATATTTTTATATTTCATTATATTTTATGTTTTATATTTCATTATATTTTATTATTATTATTATTATCTTGCGTTTCGCAAATTGGAAATGATTTTCAGCGTCAAATTCAGACGTCCGTTTCTTTATTTGAAATTTCAGATCAAAGGACTGTGATATTGCAAATAACTTTGTAATTTGAGTCTTTGCTCTGCTGCATCCACACAATTCGGACCGATTAATCATTTTCATATATAATAATCTGGGTCAATTGCCACGTTTTGTAGATCAGCAACTATTCTAATGTGTGCTTAGAAATAACACGAGATGCATTAAACGTGTACATGTAATAATAAATATATGATATCACGTCAAAGCAGCGGATATGTAACAAATTTAAATCGGATATCTTTTTGCAGATATCGTTAATACTGTTACAATGATCACTGGTGACTGTCTGTTTCTATATTTTAAAATATTTTAAATATTATTATAAATATTTTAGAATAATTAAAATGAGATTTTAAAGAACACGAGTAAGTCGATAATATTATAAAACGAAGAATGCGCGTTTCGAATGTGCTTTATTCCAACGCAATATCTTAAGTATTCTGTCTCGTGAAACAAAACGTGTTGGAAGTTTCGCGTGACGAAAGTGTCAACGTGTTAAAGTCAATCAATCATATTGTGCAAAAAAAAAAAAATAAATAAATAAAGAAAATTAGCTATCGTCGCGATAAAGCTGCAATATTTACTTTTCGAACCGTGCACACATTATATTTTCCCTATATATGCACAGTCAACGCTGGAAAACAGTCCCTGTCGTAAACTCTGACGGCGAATTATTCCACCTTGGCGCGTTATTTGCCTTTCGATTCTCAGGTAGAAATTAACGGAGTAAACAGAAAACTCGGAATCGAAAGAGAAGTTGGGGGGAGGTAGCCGAACGCTCGTTATCGACATCTTCGGTACGGTAACTTCGTTTTAAGCCAATAAACAACGCCGATGCGGGTAGCAACGATCGTCTCTGGATGCATCGGTCGTTAAACTTCTCGGGTCTCTGTTGGATCGTGCAACTCGAGCCCGTGCAATCAAGGAGAGACGCCCAAGTATTTCGAACAAAGTTCAACGACGGTAAGGTTTTGCACGATGTCGTACGCACACGCACACGCACACAGCTGGCATTAATCCATGTGACGTGTCTCGCTGTCGTGCTAAACATTCGCGGTTAACGTTAGAATGCGGTTCGCGAAGGTGAAACGAGGTGAGGCGACGACGATGGATCGATCTGGTGCGCGGCGGAAGGAGTCACGCAGCCCCCTGGGCATTTGATCGCCCGGTTTAAGTCGATAAGTGCAATTCGATTTACCCCATTGCTGTCGACAGTAATGCATACTTTATACTAGGTTTCTCTTCCTTTCAATTTCCTCCCACTTCAACGTCGGAGAGACCACGGGCGACAACGAACCATCGTTCCCGATGTAATGGGATCGTCATCTTTTCTCGTCGAGTTCCTCGTCCTCGACCGCTCGACAAAATCAATTACCACCACCGGAACCAATTCCCAGATATATTCTGCCAGTCATTTCTGTTTGATTTCTATCCTCTCGATTATTGTTTCTACGCGGTGATGCGCGACATTTACAACCATGGTTTTTTTTCTTTTTTTTTTTTTTTTTTTTT